AGAAGTAACTAGGACCACCACTTTCTTCTGGATCCTCCTGGGGGATATTCTGTAGTTATACATGTTATTTATCAACCCACTTTCAGGTTTTTTTTTTTTTTTTTAGTGCTTCAAAAACCACAGAAAAGTTAAAAGATCAGTGCAGTGATAACCTTTTTCTTTTATCTAGATTTACAAACTGCTAACATCCTGTCATAATCATGTTTTCTCTCAATATTACCAATGCTTCCCTCCTGTTTCATCATCTGAAAGTAGCTTGCAGAAAATATAAAAGTCTAAAATCTTCATTTGTTTCCTAAGGGCAAGAAAATATAAATTAAAAAAAAAAATGAACTCATACTGACAATTCAAAACTAGTACCTTGGGGTTCTTTCTTACCTTCTTGCTGTACCTACTTGTATTTCTCTTCACTTGATAACATCCAATGTTTTTATAGATTTAGCTGCTCTTTTGGAAACAGACGAAGGATGGGAAGCAGCAGAAGCAGGTAGACTGTGGGAGTCTCTGTACTTATCCAGAGGAATTATAATGGTGATAGTGGATTATGGCAGTGGTTGCATTATGGATACACACACACACACACACACACACACACTTTTCATTTAGTTTTCCCCCAATTTCAGATAATTATTAATCATTGTAAACCCCAGTACCCTATACCAACATGATTTCATGCATTGAGAGGGAAAGTATTCCCTGATTAAATGGAAATTGTGCAGATGGCTTCTGGAAGACCTTCATTTTAGGCATTTTTATTGTGAAATATTTTGTCTGAACATCTGGACCTTCTTTCTTCAGTTTGCTGTCATCTACCTTGACTGAAGTAGAACCAGTTTGTTCCAGGATTCTGGGTCATTCTTTCTGTCCCGACTGAACCAGGATTGCACAGTGCCAGAACCATGACATGCAGCACTGCTCCAGCATCTCCGGCTTCAATAAACACAAAGAGGGGGATCAAACTAGGATGCTTCTTTTTTTTTAAGATTTATTTTTATTTATTTATGTATAGATGAGCTGGGGTATAGGCCAAAGGTGTCAGGGGGTGAGAGGATTCACCAGAGACAAGGTAGGGAGCAGAATAGGAGGATCCACCGAAATACACTGCTGAGGGGAGCAGCTGGCGAGACTGGAGAGGTCTGTTGTGCCATGTGGGATTCTTGCCGGCTGGCTGGGATTGAACCCGCACTGCAGAGGCTGTGGGCAGCTTCACAGTGCTGAGCTCAACTGCCTGTGCCACCAGGGGAGGCTCTCGAGTATTCTTTTAATACTTTAGTATGTACCCCCATCCTCGAATAAAGATACTCTCCCATATTACTATCGTATTGATACCCATTTAGAACATAGATATTGATGCAACATTACCATCTACTTCATAGACATTCACATTTTGCAATCTGTCTTCGTAATGACTCTTGTTCTTTTCTTGTCTAGGATCCTACCTGCAAACAGACAGTACTATACTCATCATGTACTGTTCATGTCCTTCAATCTGGAATGGTTCCTTAACCTTTTCTAGTCGCTAATGTACTTGACAATTTAGAGTGCTCATTTATGCTATTACCTGTGTTTCCCACTGTTTGCTTATGATCAGACTCAGGCTGCAGCCCCATGGGAGCATGCATGGGGGCGATTTGGGGGCACACTGTGTTGACCTGTCCCAGGTGATGCTCACTTGCCCCCATGGTATCTGCCAGCTTCCTGCGATGTAAAGTCACTCTTTCCTCTTTTGAATTTGGTAGCTATTTTTGGGGAGATGATGTGACATACCGTCAATAAACCTGTTCCTTATTAAGCCTCCACCACCAACCCTAGCCTCCATTGATAATGCCAGCTTCTGTCAATTACCACACTCATGCCAAAGAGTGATTATCTCTGTCACTCTGCCTATATTTATGAATTGACATTGCCTGTAAGAGTTTTCTTGATGAATGTATTTGTCTTATTTTGGACCCATTGACTCATACTTATTTCAGTGGGTTGTCGTGGGATAATCTCATTTGATTTTGATGCTCAGATTTTCCCAACATTTGACCTCTTTTGTTCTTTTGATATGTTCCCTTAACTCTCTGAGAATCTCCTTGTTTCCATGCACAATAAGATGTTCCAGGCTTATCTTGCACTTACCCTGCTTCAACTCTGGAACCAGCCATTCTTCTAGGAGCCTTTTAGTGGACTTTCATCTCTAGTGCAGGATGGTAGTTAGTATCTAAGATCTCAACACATAGTATTTTCATCACTACTGGGATGTCACTGCTTCCACAGCCTTTTAGCAGATAGAACTAGGAGAAACATGCATGCATGTATGTATACATATATAAAAACATCTATAATTTTCTGTGTATGTATATTTTAAGAAACTGAGTTCATAATAATACTTCCAATTCCAGTCCAACATTTTAGGGAACTTTCGCTCTCTGTTCTTTCCACTTTTATAAATACTTTCTCAGTGAGAAACCTGGGTTCAGTTATTTTGCATGTAGCTAGTCTTCTGCTCAATTGATTAACATTTGTTCAGTGTATTTACTCTTCTAACCACTCAGGCTGCCTCTTCCATCTGCCACTCTTCTCCCTCCCACTACCCCCTCTCCTTGGAGCTGGGGCTTGCTGCCACCTCCCCGCTGCAGCCTCCTCTCCTGCACCATCCCATTTTCTTGAATACCAGGCACATTGCCACGGATAATGACACACAAAACTTCATACCCTCATTGCTCTGCTTCCCCTGAAATGGACATGTCTGTGTTGGGAGAGAAGGAAAGAAGGGAAGGGAAAGAAGAATGGAAAGGAAAAGAAGCCAGATTATAGATATCTTAAAGACAGAGCTGCAGGATTTGCTATTAGATTGAATATGGAAGGTAAGGAAGAAAAGTAAACAATAGCTCCAACATTTTTGGCTTGAGCTGCTAACGAAATTGTGAGGTTATTAACCAAGATGAAGTCAAAGCAGTAGGACGTTTGGTGGGGGTGCTTAGGAACTCAGTTTTTGGGTGTCTTGTTTGACATTTAAGAGGAGCTGTCAAGTGCCCAGTGTATGCGCATCTTGAGGCCTGGGCTGGAGGTGTATATGTTTGGGAACCCTCGGCATATAGATACTATTTAAAGCCACAAGCTCTCACAACAGGAGTAGAGTAGATGGAAAAGTTTATGCTGAGCCCAGGAACAATTTTGTATCAGGGAAATGTGGAGGAACCAGTAATGTGGGGTTAGTCCAAATTACCAAGTGAGTTTGGTAATTTGGAAATGCTTCAATAAATATGAAAGGATCCACTGTGTCAAATGCTTCTCATAGGTGAAGTGGGCTGAGGATCATGTGAATTTAGCACTGTTGCGGGTGACATTAGTAACTGTTGTGTGGGGAAATGTAGGGTAGAGGGGAGCATGATCCGAGCAGGTTCGAGAGTGAATGGGAGGAAAGAAATGGATGACAGCAGGTAGAAGGGACTGTTTCTAGAAGTTTTGGCCTGTATATAGTAAAGTACATAGCTACAGTCTTCTCTTTACAGGGTTTCAGCTCTGCAAACTGAGTTTAAGGTAGTCCTTCTCTGAGAGTAAGAATGAAATAACCTTTCACTTTTTTTTTTTTTTGCTAAAACCTTGTTTTAGGTTGATGAAATGTTTTTGTCATTTCAGTTAAGAGTAAACCGTCAGTACAGCTCCTGTATATATGCAATGAGGAAATCACCGGCACGTTTGGCTGACATGATGATAAGGAGTGCAAAGGCAAAATGAGATTTGGGAAACTTCAGAGTTTCTGAAAATGTTAGTGAAAACAGACACTTTTAGAGATTGCATAGGAATCAGGCTTCTTTAGCTTTGTCAGCATTTGATCTTTTTTTGTACAAAAAGTTTTTTTAACCTAGTTTATTGGAGAATATTTCCTGTACCCATATATTCCATAGTTTATTACAAAATAATATTAAGGAATTAGAGTGTTGTTAGATTTGCTGAAATCACTTTAAAGGTTTAAATGAGTGAGTCCTTTATTGTTTAGATAGAAAGTTGAACCCTTAAGACTTGGATGGCAAGTAGCGGGCACAGAGCTGCTGCACTTCTTTCCTGTCGTCACCGCTGATCATTCACATAATCTTTCCGTGCTGAAATATAGCTTCAGAATTTGTGTTAGTAATGTTCCAGAAAGTCACTACCCATTATTAGTGACTTGACATCAACCTGTTTTTTATTTTATTTTATTTTTATTTATTTATTTTTAAAAATATTTATTTATTTATATAAAAACCTGGGTACAGGCCAGATGTGCGGGAGGATGAGAGGATTCACCAGAGACAGAGTGGGGAACAGAACAGGCAGATGGACAGAAATACACTGCTGAGGGGAGCAGCGGGCGAGATAGGAAGGTCTGCCACGCTATGTGGGATTTTCGCCGGCCACCCGGGATCGAACCTGTGCTCTCCCAGAGGCTGCAGAGAGCTTCTCAGTGCAGCGCTCAACCACCTGCGCCACCAAATTGGGGGCCTGTGCCCCTAACCTATTTTTTAATCTCTGGTATAAGGATTTAGTTTATAAGATTAAAATTGTGGGAAAACAACACATAAATTAGAAGTGAGCTTTGAATTGTGTTGTCAGTCATTGCAAAAGCTTATCAATAATAGGGCCACCCTGGTGGCGCAAGGGCTTAAGCACCGCACTCTGAAGCAATCCGCAGCCTCTGCAGCATGAGTTCGATCCCTGGCTGGCCAGGGAGCATCCCACATGGTGCAGCAGACCTCTCCTGTCTCTCCTGCTGCTCCCCTGAGCAGTGTATTTCAGTCAGTCTGCCTATTCTGCTCTCCACTCTGTCTCTGGTGAGTCCTCTCAACCCCCGCATGTCTGGCCTGTACCCCAGCTCTTGTATGCATAAATAAATAAATCTTTTAAAAAAAGCTTATCAATAATAATAGTAGCTAATGAGAAACTCTGAGAGAGCTGGTAGACAGTTACAGTCTTATTCTTTTGTAAAAACATCAAGTTGACAGTTAATCTCTATTCTTTTCTTTCGTTCCAAGATTCTACCCTGTTTGCTGAACTTGGCTATCTCACAGACACTGATGACCTGCAATTAGATGCCACAAATGAAACTTATGTAAGTATTTACTAGGGGAAAAATCCTGAATAATGATATTTAATCTTTAATTATTATAAGAAGTTTTTAGGATAACAGATTTAGTTTAGTTATTTAAGCATAAATAACTTTAGCATTAAGTATGAAAGTTAGTAGCCATTTTATAGTCAGTAAATGTAGGATTGTAGAAATTGCACTGGTCTTGTTGTGAATAGACTTGTCTATTCTAAGTTTACCTTTGGCCCCAGGGGCATGGGACCTTGAAAAAAATCACTTAATTGCTAACTTCTTGTTTTTGTTTTTTTTTTTTTTGTTTTTTTATATGCTTTGCTACAAGAGGGGAATGTTGTTTAGGGGTTTGTGTGAGTCACAGAGCTGGTCAATTATAATTTACTAATTTTCTTTTTAAATGTTACATATCCTTAGTGTAGAAAGTTCTGAAACTTAGATATATACTTACTTTTTGCCTTTGAGTGATTAGAAGTCTGTGTAAAAGCTATTATAGCACCTGGAGTCTTCAAAATAGCTTTTATTTATTTATTGGATTAATACTCATGGAGCTGTATAGAGAACTCTCATTTTATCTTATTTTTTTAATAGATGAGGTGCTGTTTCACTTGGGAAATAATCCCAGTGAGGAGAGTGACTTGATCACATCCAGCACATCGTTCAGGTTCAATAATTATCACCTGTTTTTTTTTTTATTAAGTCCTATTTGCCCGATTATAAAAGTATATACTGCTTGCTCAGTGAGTTTTGAACATTTTTCAAGACTAATTTAGCAGTTGTTTTACTATGAGTCAATAGAAGAGAATGAAATGCATGACAATTTTTTAATCTGTGCATGAGATTTTAATGGTTTCATTTACTCTATGAGATGCTTTAGAATATGGTCTATTGATTAAATTGACTTCTAATACTGGCTGATTGTCTAAGTAACTGATATTTCTTTACAACTTCAGGATGTAAAACCATTAAGAAACAGTGTAGTCAGCTTGAAAGATTCAGGGAAATGTGGTCTTGATTTTATAACATTCAGTTGTCTTGCATCAATTGTTTAATCTTTTGGTTCTTTGGTTTTCTAGTATAAAATGAAGTGGTTGGATTAGATGATCTGAGAGTCCTTTCTAGCTTAAAGTGTGTCATTTTGCCACAAGGTTGTAAAGGTTTCCAGGAGTAGTCATTGAAGAGTCAGGGTATGTTTTACTTTACGTAAAACGGGTCTATTCAGTTTCCATCTAGGTAAAAATCTTATACTGTAAAAAGTATTAAATTTCTGGCTGATCCTGAACGTGAACATCCTTGACCTGAACATGAACATCCTTGAACATCCTATTTGCTTTGACTTGACACGATTGAACATGTTAGAATGGATCACTGCACTCACACCAGCATCACTGTTAAATTTACTTAAACTAACAAAGTTTAAGGACTTTTTAGTTGCTTGGATATACAAAACTGCTTTTTAGCTGCTTGGACATACAAAGCTGTTTTGACATATAGAGTCAAGTAAGGAGATTGATTTAAAAAGTGTTCTTTTGTGATCTAAATAGATTTTTTTTGTTCATGTGAACTTGCACACATTCACTTTACATAACTTGTACGAGTATTTACTCAGTTAAGGGCAATGTGATAAGAAAATAGTTTACCTTCTCTCCTTCTGTTCCATTCTCAATAAAAATAAACCACATAATAGACATTTTGGGATGATAATGTTATTCTAGAAATTATTACCAAATGATTGTTAATAATTACTAGATTAATCTTTACTTTTTGTCTAAGGCTTACTTTATGGGTGCTCTTTTATTATCTGTTAAGTTAATATTGACTACCTTTTGACTTTGTTTTACAGTTTATGTATTAAGTTTACTTTTGTTTTTGTCTCTGTAACCCTAGGTGTTTAAAATAGTAGTTGGTACTATTTTGATCTCATACTTATATGAGGGCACCGAAAGCAGATGGCAGTTCTTTATATATAGTGTAAGATGGCCATCTAGATGCCTCAGAATGTACTTATATTTAAGTAAAAAACATTATCATCTAAATGAAAAGAAACTGAAAGTTTCTCTAAGAGATTTGTTTACCTCTGTTTAAGAAATTTAGCTTTATCTTCTAAGACTAAAATATTTCTAATTCATGAAATTTTTGAAATTTTATTTTATAAATTTGAAAACTACAGAATAGTAGAAAAAAGAAGAAAATTGGTCAGTGTCCTATAAATCTCTTCTCCCGTATCTATTTTAATATTTGGTATATTTGAAGGTTCAGTTAACGTCTCTGTGCTTCCTGCTTGTCTTTTGGATACATCTTTTTTCTTTCCATTGTAATGAATGATGATGGTTTTATATTGGCATTGCTTTGACTTATTTTTTTTTAATGGAAATGAGAAAGTTTATTGTGCTGGATCTCCCTTATGTTAAAAAAATATATTTTGTAATTCTTGTAATGGTTTGTTCCCATATAAAAGAATGAAACCAGTTGATCTTGTACATGTTGAATCCATTATCTTTTTCCTAATTGTTATTGCTCTGCTTCAGATAATTGAATTGATTCATTTCTAGGCTATCCAAGATGTATTCTCAAGATGTAGTGATTGACTTAAGACAAATTATTGTTACTCAGTTGGGTAGTAGCAGTTATTTATGACAAATTGTGTTTGACAGCTTGGTTTCTAGATGTATGTTTTTTATTGTTCTAATATTCCTTTGCTAATTTGTAACCTACAGGAAAACAATTTTGATAATCTTGATTTTGATTTGGATTTGATGCCTTGGGAGACAGGCATTTGGGACATTAACAACCAGTTCTGTACAGGTAATGATGTATTCACTGGTAAAAGCATTAAATGGACCCATTTTTGTTTTATAGTTTGATAATACTCAAAATTAGGTGGGATTTTGGGTTACTTTGGTCAATTAAATATTCCAGATACTGTATCTTTTATTTCTGGTATGGCAAATGCATACATAAATTTCTTGTCAAAGTGAATATAAAGAATTTCAGTTATGTTCCAGTTGTATGATGAATAAAGAATTACTATCAGAAATATTGATTTTGAGTTATATATAATATCTCGAAAAGAGATGAACCTATCTGCAACCTGATGGAGATTAGGAAATCAAAAGAAAGAGACTGGGTTATTAGAACTTAGGAACTTGGTATAGGAGTCTCATGATTTAAGGTATAGGAACTTCTGAGGTCAGGGGGCACTGCACCGCGTGGCTGATGTTAGTATCTTGAAGGGGGTGTTACAGGTTGTGCTGAAGGAACCTGGAACCTGGTACGAAATGTCACTTCTGGGTTGGAGCTGATGGGAGGGTGAAGAAATCCCTTCTTCCCTTCTACCTTCTGACAACTTTCTAGTATCCCCTGTTGACAGGACCTACAAGGAACCCAGTGTGGCTTAATAGTTTGCACTACAGACATTGGAGGTAGACTTAGAACCGAGAGGCAGTGGCTGATAACAAGCACGTCCCTTCATATAAAGTGTGTCTCCCACCTTGCACTTCCTGTTCCATTCACTTTGTGCATTTATTTATCTTCTCAATGTCTGTCTTTCCCCACAGAGCACCAACTACACAAGACCAGTGTTCTGGTTATGTTGTGTAACAAACTACTCTGAAACTTAGTGGTTTAAAGCAACGATCCTTTTATTATGTTCCCCAGAATTAATGGGCTGGGAGTGTGGACATGGAGCACCAGGAATGGCTTGTCTCTGCTCCATGACACCTACATCATACATGGGATGACACAAAGGCTGGGTAGTTTGATATTTAGGAACTAGAACATCTAGAGGTTTCTTCACTCACATGTCTGGTGCCTGGTCTGCCATGACTTGAAGACTTAGATTGCTGACTAGGGTGCCTCCAGGTGACCTTCTTGAGCTTGGCCTCCTCTCAGCAGAGTGAGCCCATATTGGTCACACTTCTCAGGTTCAGACACAGAATAGAAATGTGCTGCTTCATGTAACCCAGCCTTGGAATTCATCTAGCATTATTGCCATGCTCTATTGATTGAAGGAGTCCTAAGTCCTCCTAGATTCTGGCAGAAGGGAAATACCTACTTCTTGATGGAGAAGTGGTGGTATCACATTAGAGAAGATCAGGAGGGATGGTAGATATTTTGCAGCTAACTTTGGAAAACAAGATCTGACACAGAGGTGGTTTCTTCCCCCATCCCATTATATCTGTGATACATATGAATATGAATACTACCAGGACTGTTGTTGCTCAATAAATTTTTATAGACTAAATTAACTGTTCAAAAGATTTATTTATTTATGCATACAAAAACTAGGGAACAGGCCAGAGGTGTGGGGGGTGAGAGGATTCACCAGAGACAGAGAGGGGAGCAGAATAGATGGATTGACTGAAATATACTGCTGAGGGGAGCAGCAGGCGAGACAGGAGAGGTCTGCTGTGCCTTGTGGGTAACTCCCTGGCCAGGGATCGAACTTGTGCTGAAGTAGCTGCCCATAGCTTCATAGTGCTGAGACTTAACCCCTTGCACCACCAGGGAGCCCAGAGAGGAATATTTTAATTGTATTATCAAAAATGCTTTCTAAAACATTTGTTACCTGTTTCTTGTATTTTTTAGAATTAGTTTTTGGGGACTCTATAGTTTTTTGGTATAATACTCAAAGGTACAAAAAGTCTACAGAGTAGACAGTATCTCCAAGTTCTGATCCCCAGAGACAACCACACTTGCCACTTTATGTTTATCTTTCCAGAGAATTAGTGCAGATGTGAGAAGATAAATATACATATACAAACATAATTTACTGTACACATGGAAGTATCCTAGATATATTATTTTCTGTGTCTTGTATTTTCACTTGATGATATATTTTGGTGACTTTAGCTTCTATATATGACTGCATTTTAAGAGTAGATTTTATCTTCTTTCTTGTTCATTTTTTCTGAATTTATATTGTCTAGTGAGAAAAATTTTACTCCATATTTTTCAGTTAAGGATATTAAGATAGAACCTCAGCCCCTCTCTCCAGCCTGCTCAAGTTGTTCCGTGTCATCGCCTCAGTCGGTAGACTCCTATTCTTCAACTCAGCATGTTCCTGTAAGTAGTCAGTCTTTTTTTTTTTTTTTAAAGATTTATTTTATTTATGCATACAAGAGCTGGGGTACAGGCCAGAGATGCGGGGGAGTAAGAGGATTTACCAGAGACAGAGTGGGGAGCAGAACAGGCAGATCTACTGAAATACACTGCTGAGGGGAGCAGCGGGCGAGACAGGAGAGGTCTGCTGCGCCATTTGGGTATCTCCCTGGCCAGCCGGGGATTGAACTTATGCTACAGAGGCTTCAGACTGCCCCACAGTGTGGTACTTAACCCCTGGCACCACCAGGGAGGCCCAAATAGTCAGTCTTTTCCAATTATTTTTATTAAATGCTATTTGGAAATTATGTGTATGAGGAGACACTCAGTAAGTGCTTCTGTGAGCCTTGTTGTCTCATTTTATCAGGTTGAAACTGAGTCTTGAGGAAGGGCCTTGGAGAGCTAAAGAGTAGATAATCTTTGACTTCCTCCTTGCCTTCACAATCTCATTGTTTCATTGTACTTCACTAGTACCCTTTGTTGTTTTTTATTGCCTTACTGTTTTTTCTCCCTGCTACCCTTTCTCCCTGTCTGTTAGAATACAGGGAGGAGGACTTTGGAAGAAAGTAAGATTTTTTTGTAACTCCTTAGCCCTAGAATCGCATATGGTGTCCTGAATTCAGGTAGACCTGACAGCACCTTTTGAATGGGTTAAAGGTTTTTACAGCAGTCTGGTAGTTCCTTAAAATGCCTTTGCTCTCCAAATAGACAAGAGCTCTGAGGCCAGGGAAAGGAAATACCAATGGATGTAAGTACTTTTGGAATGGAGAAAGGGAAAATAGAAGAAGAAAATTCAAATTAATATTTCCATACATTATATCTGTTGTGAATTGAGATATCATCATTCTGGCAGATTCTGCGTATGGTCAGTTACTAAGTCTTGGTGAATCTACCCAGTACTGTCTCTAGGATTTATCTTCTCTGCCCTGTCAGCTTATTGTCAGCTCAGTGGGGTTTTATTTATTTTTTTTTAAAGAATTATTCCTTTATTGTAAAATTTTATTTTATTCATTTTTACATAGAAGAACTGGGATGTAGGCCAGAGGTACAGGGGGTAAGAGGATTCACCAGAGACAGAGTGGGGAACAGAACAGGCAAATCCACTGAAATGGTAAGGGGAGCAGTGGGCGAGATAGAAGAGGTCTGCTGTACCATGTACATTAGCTCCCTGCCTGGGTATTGGACTCAGGCCTCTTGGAGAGCTGTTGAGGTGATAGTGCTGAGAATTAACCCCTAGGCCACCAGGGAGGCCCAGTCAGAGGGTTTTAATTGTTCTCTCTGCTTAACTTCCCACACCTTTTGTAGCAGACGAATTTTCTTAAATTCAAAAATCTTTCAAAGTCATAAATTTGATTGTGTCAATTATATGCTTAAAGCCTCTTAATGACTTCCCAACCCTTATAAGGGTGAAGTTCAAGTTTCCAAAGAATAAGGCCCTTGATGTCTGACCTGCTTGTCTCTCCTTGTTTCTCACTGTCTCTTCCTCCCTTCTTATTCCCCTTTGCTTTACCTCTGTGACTTCTCCCTGACAGCTCTGGTACACTCCTCTCCTCCAACAGCTGTGCCAGTCTCCATGCCAAACTCTGGCAGCAAACAAGAGTAGCTGGCTCTTGCAGGTTTCCTTTTGCGCAGGCTCTTCATTCTGCCTGGAATAGCCCCATTTGTTTCTTCCCTTGGAGAACTGTTCATCCTTTAAGAAGGCACTTAAAAAAACCCAACTTATTCTGTGAAGCTTTCCTCTGATTGCTATTATCGGAAGTTCTCAATTTCTTCAAATGAGTTGATTTTTAAACTTAATTTACCTTTGAGGTCAAAAGCATATAACACGTTACAGCCACAGAAGCCTGGTTTCTATTCTTTTCTGTCACATACTTTGTTACACAAAAGAGAGCATACTTTTGGATTGTTGGAATAATGTATTCTTTCTATGTTTTCTATGCGAAAGTGCATCATGACTTTTCCAACAATCCAAAATATCCCCTGTTCTATACTTGTTTGTTTAATTTAACCGTATGTCCTGGTGATAACTCCAGCTTCAGGACATGGGGTCCTTTTCATTCTTCCTTATGGATGCAAAATGTTCTGTTGCATCGCTGTAATATATCTCGCTCAATGACTTCCTTATTGGTGAGCATTTCTATTGTTTTTTGTCTTTTCTGGACTCATCTAATGCTATAGCAAGTGAGTTGGTGCATAATTCACTTTATGTATTTGCCAAGATATCTCTGGATGTATTCCTAGAGGTGTAATTGCTGAGATCAAAGCGAGTACCTTTGACTGTTGCTGGTTGTTGCTAGATTTCCCTTCCTGGGTTTGAGTATTTGTGCTTTTTCTTTGCCTCTTTGGTTTGTTTATGAAGTTTGAAAAAGTCTTTCTCTGCTTGCATGCCACAATGATATTCTTCTGCATTTTCTTTTATTAACTTTATGATTTACCTTTCACATTTACATTTCTTAATATCTTAATATTTGGCTTAGTAAGGGATCTAATTTTAATTTTCTCTATGTAAGTGAATGAATTCTCTCAATTATATCACCTTTATAATCACTGGATATTGTATGTCTCTGTTTATTCAGATTTTCTTTTATGCCTCTTCGTTAAGTTTTGTAGTTTTCATTTATATAGATTTTGTATATGCCTTAGGAAATTAATTCCTAGGTATTTTATTGTGAGTGAGGTATATTTTTATTATGCATTCTAAATGATTTTTAATACACTGTTTTTCCTTGTTAAATATTTTTTCAGTTGGTTCTATATGTCTTCCAAGTAGGGATAGTGCCTTGCAAAACAAGGGTACTTCTGTCTCTTCTATTTTGATATTTATATTTATTTTATTTTCTAGTATCACTAGAAAATATTTGCTGGAATCACAGAAAAGCAGTTCTTTGTTTCTCATCCAGACTGTAATGGTAATACAGTTAGTAGTTTACCATTGTAGAATTATGCATAGCTTTATTTAGCATTGAGAATATCCCTGTGAACCTTGTTTTGTAGGAATTTTTTGAGGAATACTTGGAATTTTATCAAATAACTTTTAACCATCTAAGGCATGAAAATTACAGTCTTCTCCTGTGTTATCTTATACTCTTTTTTTTTTTTTAAGATTTATTTATTTATTTATACAGCTCTGGGTTCAGTCAGAAGCGTGGGAGGGTGAGAGAATTCACCAGAGCCAGAGAGGGGAGCAGAACAGGCAGACTGATGAAGCACACTGCTGAGGGGAGCAGTGGGCACGGCAGGAGAGGTCTGCGCGCCATGTGGGACCCTCTCTGGTGACCGGGGATCGAACCGGCGCTGCAAAGGCTATAGGCAGCTTCGCAGCCCAGCTCTCAACCGCTGCGCCACCAGTGGAGGCCCTGTTATATTATACTCTTTGTCTTTTCCTGAATGTATGTTCTGCAAGGTTCATTAGTGGAGCTAATGGCTACATGCTGAGTAGGTGTGAAGAATGCATAAATGAAGCAATTTTCATTCTCACCAGCATGACTGAGAGTGACTATTTCTCCTGTATTCTCTCTAGGTCATTTTTATTTATTCTTATCTGATAAATTTTTTTTCTTTTAAATTTGCCTGGCTATATTTGCATTTCATTTTCAGTGAAATGGCTGTTCCTGTCTTTTGTCCATTTTCAACTAATTTCTCCTGATATGTATCTTTTAACTTTATGATGTTTTGCTTTATGAAACGTCTTTTGTTCACATCTATTTCTTCTTCCATAATTTATGGCTTCTGGATTTTTTTGACATAAAGAGACCTATGTCATACTGAGAGTAAACAGGTATTCTCTGAAGTGATTCTTATAGATTATTTTAAAGATGATATGATGCAGAGATTTTGCCTACTGTATTAGTACATATAACATGTATTTCTCTTGGGATTGAAATGCTACTTTTGGGCCTTGCCGGTAGCGCAGTGGTTGAGCGCTGAGTTGCAAAGCTGCCTGCAGCCTCTGCAGCACCGGTTCGATCCCCAGCTGCTCCCTGGCCACCAGAGGAGGGTCCCACATGGCGCGCAGACCTCTCCTGCCGCCCGCTGCTCCCCTCAGCAGTGTACTTCGGTCCTTCTGCCTGCTCTGCTCCCCGCTCTGGCTCAGGTGAATTCTCTCACCCTCCCGCGCTTCTGACTGTACCCAGTGCTTGTATAAATAAATAAATAAATCTTTAAAAAAACAAAAAAAGAAATGCTACTTTTATCCTAACTTTCTTTATTTTAACAAAATGAGACAGATTCATTAAATATTAACAGATTTTGAAAATGTTAGCATCTTTCTATATCTTGGCATTATGAATTCATCCACTAAATAAAATACCTCTACTCTTAGTGTTTGTCTTTCTTTCAAAAATTTGAGGCAAAGACAGTACTAATAGATAGGAAAGGCTAAAAAGATAGTAAGAATTACTTGCTTTTGAGAGTCCTGTTTAAGACTTGATATTGGCATTTTAATGGTGCCTTGTAATGATTCTGACATTTGACTAGGACTCATGTAAACTGGCCATTTATTCATATCTTTAATATAAGAGGATGACATAGATACATTCTGCGTTTCGAATTTTTTCCTTTAGAATGGATGGATAATGTTGACTTATCCATAGTCTTTTAGTACTCAATGTACAGAGACACTGTTTCTAATACATGAAAACTTTGTCTTATAGTGCTCCTCTTATATGGACTTGCCCTCTTTCTAAGCAGTTTTCTGCTCAAGGGTTGCATTCTTCTTCATGAATTTTTTGTTTATTTTGCTACAGGAGGAGTTGGATTTGTCTTCTACTTCCCAGCTGTCTCCCTTTTCCTTATATGGTGAAAGTGCTACAGGTCCCTCCTCGGTAGAGCCCCTGAAGGAAGATAAGCCCATCATTGGTGCCAGGAGCAAAACTGGTATTACTCCTTTAACTGAGTTTACTTGAAAAGAAAACATTAATCAAGTGCATGTTTATTAAACTGGCTTGCTTTCACTGAATATACATGTTTTGTTTGTTATGAATGATTAATGTGGAGAGGAAAAGGAAGAATTCATCTTTTTTGTCTTTATAGGTAAAAGATACTTTAAAATAGACTTGTGCTCCATCATTTTCAGGAGAGATCTCAAAGTTTCAGTTAAAACTATTGAATGTGAGGGCCATTTTGCTATGACATTTGTTACCGCATTAATCACTAGGGTTTTGTCAGTGATTTTAGCTGTTTCTCCTTTATAAATTTATGTGTCTCCTTCCCAAAGCTGTAGCTCGTTGAGGAAGGCAGACTCAGATTAAAGACCTTTCTTTAGTCTGCCCAGGTATAGTGTAGCTATAATTAAACTCTAGTTAAAGAAGTTATTCAGAGGTCAAGATCATGTAAGGAAAGGTGTATAATAGAATCGGTTTTTTAGGATTTGCTTAATTGTCTTCTGATTGATTTGTGGTTTGTTTTTCTACAGAAAGTGGACTGACTCCCAAGAAAAAAATACAGATGAATTCAAAACCTTCAATTCAGCCCAAGCCTTTATTTCTTCCAGTGGCACCCAAGACTCAGACAAACACCAACGTTCCAGCAAAGACCATCATTATTCAGACACTACCAACACTTGTGCCATTGGCAAAGCAACAACCAATTATTAGTATACACCCTGCACCCAGTAAAGGTACTGAGTGAAATTTGAGGCTTCGTGTGTTTAATTGGAGGAGCCGAAGCTAGTGCCATATAATTTGTTTTAATTCAGGTTATAATTTTTGAGTACATGCTGTATGTCAGGAATTGTCCTTGGTTCTGAGAGGGTGTATGTGTGATTCTCATCCTAACAAGGGAGATAGGTATTGCAACTGCATTTATAGATCTTTTTTTCTATAGTTTCACTTGTGAATACCCCTGTTCATAAGACTTATTTAATAAGGTTTTATATAACTGCTTTTATTTTATTTATTTTTTAAAGATTTATTTATTTATGCATGCAAGAACTGGAGTACAGACCAGAGGTGTGGCGAGTGAGAGTATTCACCAGAGACAGAGCAGGGAACAGAACAGGCAGATTGATTGAAGTACACTGCTGAAGGGAGCAGCGGGCGAGTCAGGAGAGGTCTGCTGCGCTATGTGGGTTCCTCCCTGGCCGGCCGGGGATGGAACTCGTGCTGCAGAGACTGCGGGTAGCTTCATAGGTAGTGTCTTAACCCCTTGCGCCATTAGGGAGGCCCTATATAACCCCTTTTATTTTATTTTTTTTTAAATGTACCTGGTATAGTACCATTTCCTTCTTTCTTTCTTTTTTTTTTTTTTTTTTAAGATTTATTAATTTATACAAGCACTGGGTACAGTCAAAGCGCAAGAGGATGAGAGAATTCACCAGAGCCAGAGCGGGGAACAGAACAGGCAGGCTGACGAAGTACACTGCTGAGGGGAGCAGCGGGCAGCAGGAGAGGTCTGCGCACCATGTGGGACCCTCGCCCAGTGGCTGGGGATTGAACCGGCGCTGCAGAGCCTGTGGGCAGCTTCGCAGCCCAGTGCTCAACTGCTGCGCCACCAGGGAGGTCCCCCTATATAACTGCTTTTAATGAAGAAAATCTGGGATATTTTTTGGTGCCATTTTATTCAGAGATTTATTTTTTTTGTAAGAAAAAAATTTTTTTTAACAAGAGCTTAGTATTTAAAATCATATGGTCCATTTCAGATCTAATACGTGTGTTTTGGTAATAGAATCTGCCTCTTAATCTCAGGAGGCTGCATGGTTTGATAAACATATCTTGAACAAGATACTAGGAAGAGACCGGAACGCTTCTTTCAGGTAGTTGAGGATGTGTTTCTATCTTTTATCCACTAGATGGCACCACATACTTGATTCTGCAAGAAGCTGCGGTCAGTGTTAAAGTTAAGTAGAATTTGGGACAACCCAGGGAATCATTTGCACATAGAGGTCTCTTAGGCAGAGTATTCTTCATTGTACTTGTTCTTATACATGTGCACACGAGAAAAGGAAAACTTATGCAGTGTTCTCTGATTTAACTTCTCAATACCAAGTAATACTAGGTGTTAATGGGGTGTGAGTTGTAAATAAACCTCAATGTTAAATATGCTTTATGGCTATATTTCTAACTGTGGGTTGTTAGCTTATTTATTTGATAATGGTTTTAATGAGGGCCAGGTTATACATTTGATTTCCTGGTACTCTGTTAGCTTTGTGCTATTCCACAGTCAGACAGCATGACACTGATGAAAAGAAGAACAAGGTGAGAAAGTGAGTAAGTCAGTGAAAATCCATCAACCAATCTCTACCAAAAAACGGCAAACAAACCCAAAATACTTGCCCTCTCAGGGCAGAGTCAGTGCAATAAAATGTTAGACTTAGTGTGCATGTTCACATGTGGATTTTTGTAGGAACAGATTCTAAAACTTTTATTAGGATCTCAAAAGGGTCTGTGTCTTCCCAAGGCTAAGAAATTAATCTCATTATAGTTCCCATAAGCTATTAAAACACTTGCATAGAAAATAAAATCCCACATTAACATGGCTAGTGTATAAAGTAGGGGCCATTACTGAGAATTTTCTCCTAGCAGACCACTAGGTGTGTTTGAGTGATAGATGGTCTTACTTATAGCAAGAAGACAAATGGTTCTGAGCAGTTTATAAGTTTCAGAGACAGTGCTTTACTGTTAACTGGAGACTACTTGTTTAGGGGGAACTTGTGCTGATACAAGACACTTGTCTGTTTTTTTTTTTTAAAGATTTATTTATTTATACAAGAACCGGGGTACAGGCCAGATTCATGGGAAAGAGAGGATTCACCAGAGACAGAGCAGGGAACAGAACAGGCAGACTGACGAAATACACTGCTGAGGGGAGCAGCGTGTGCGACAGGAGAGGTCTGCTGCACCATGTGGGACCCTCGCTGGCTGGCCGGGATCAAACTGGCACTGCAGAGGCTGTGGACAGCTTCACAGCACTGTGCTCAACCACCTGCACCACCAGTGGAGGCCCTGTTTTTTTTTTTTAAGATTTATTTATTTATGCATACAAGAGCTAGGGTACAGGCCAGAGATGCAGGGGGTGAAAGGATTCACCAGAGACAGAGTGAGGAACAAAACAGGCAGACTGACTGAAATACACTGCTGAGGGGAGCAGTGGGCGAGACAGGAGAGGTCTGCTGTGCCATGTGGGTTGCTCCCTGGCTGGCCAGGATTGAACTTGTGCTGCAGTGGCTGCGGTCAGCTTTATAGGTTGCATCTTAACCCCTTGTGCCACCAGGGAGGCCCTAAAATAATATTCTTAACTCCATATCTTCTAGTAATATTGATATACTAGAAAGCTGGAAAGTGTAATTTTCCATATTATTTGTGTATTTCTAGGGCACTTACATGTTGTCAGACATAGTTCTAAGTGTTTAAGTGCATTTACTTACTCAATCTTTACCTCAACTGTGTGTGGGAATAAGTGCTATTGTTATCTTTATTTCATAGATGAGAAAATGAACACACATAGAAATGATTTACCCAAAGTTGTAAAGCCGTACTATTTAAACCAAGTCGGCATTCAGTCAATGTTTGAGACATGGTTTGAAATCTTTGAAGGAGATTGAAAAGGAACCACTGTCACAATCAGTGAGTCATAGATAGACTTATCCAGCATCCGCACACATAGACCATCCATCACCCTGTCCGGCTCCCATTCCAGCGGTGTTCTACTGTCATGCCAGTGAGGGTTTGAACACACTGAAAAACCATAAACAGCTTTTTGGTGTGTTCTTTGTAACAGTTTCCATCTAGGACAGTGGTAAGTATTTCCTGCTGTTAATTATTTAAGCCCCAAATAGTCCTCTCCTTTTCATTTTGTGATTTGGTCAGGATTTAGCAAGTCACTGTGAGTTTTTAGTTTTTTGTTTTGAACACACTGTAATAGAAATGTAGTTGTTTCTCCTCATTCTGTCTTGAACCCAAGCATGCTTAGAATATTCAGAGGATCCTTGGTTTGGATGATTGGTAATTTGAGGATAGTTGGGCACTCTGGGATAAAAGGGTTTAATTTGCATCATGGATATAGAGAGGCAGCAGTGGCCTGGTGGGGTAGGACTTGCAGCCCATGTTTGCTGCACAGAGCTTACTTCCATCTCCCTCCCTCTGTGATGGGATTCTCTGAGAAGGTCAAAAACAGTACAGACTTGAATTACTTTTCCTAATTAGTTTAAAAAATATTGCAGGGCCTCCCCGGTGGCGCAGCGGTTGAGCGCTGGGTTGCGAAGCCTCTGCGGCCTCTGCGGCGCCGGTTCGATCCCCAGCTGCTCCCCGGCCACCAGAGGAGGGTCCCACATGGCGCGCAGACCTCTCCTGCCGCCCGCTGCTCCCCTCAGCAGTGTACTTCGGTCCTTCTGCCTGCTCTGCTCCCCGCTCTGGCTCTGGTGAATTCTCTCACCCTCCCGCGCTTCTCACTGTACCCAGTGCATGTATAAACAAACTAACAAATAAATAAATAAATAAATAAATAAATAAATAAATAAATAAAAATTCATGCCTCTTTAAAAAAAAAAATATTGCAAAGGCATCTGCATATGCTTTAAATCTGTAATTGGAGCTAGAAACAAGATCCTTTCTTTGAAAAGACTTCATTATTAATGTTTACTGTCTGCTCTGTTCTCCCCAAATGCATTGAGCAGTGCTTAGGGTTTTTTTGTTATCATAGTTTTAAAACTTACAGGATGTGGAACACTACGTCCTGTCGTGCTGTTTTCAGAGTGTTGGTTTGAGTCAGTGGTCCTCAACCTGTAGACTGGGGACCCTGGGCCATTATGGGTGGTGGGAGAAGTGCCTGTGACATTTGCAAAGCATCTGCAAGTCTGTATTTGTGGGAAGCATTTTCTGAGAACTGAGTAAATAATTTGTTTCATATATCTTTATACTGCTGTTTTTCAATATTTTTAAGAGACTTAATTGGCTTTCTTAAATGATTCATGAATCAGGAAGCATCACTTCTCGCTAATATCAGGGTGCTGCTCTTTTCAAATTTTCATAGCTAGTGCTTCTGAGTAATAAACTACAAATTTGTTTTTAAACATGACTAAGTTTTAATAACTTTTTCTCATCATCTATTTTCTCAGTTCACAGAAACTGACAGGGCAACCATGATCATCTTGGGTGGTGACCAGGATTTTTTTTGTATTAAAGAAAAGTATTTGTATTTAGGGTGGGAACCCTTGATTTAAGCCTTGTATTATGATGAATGTGTGTTTTCATAATACAAGATGGAGTACAATTTCTTAATGGTATTATTAACATCCTAACATATGGTCATAACCTATTTATTTTATATATTATTTTTATTTGCATATTTGACCTAAGCATATTTATATCTGCTTATGAATTATTTCCTCATTTCATTTTCTGTTTCTAAATAAGTTATTCCACGGGAAAATGAGAAGACAACAGTGTTCGGTGATCATTTATGCCTTAAGTTAATTGCACATATTACTAATCTGTAAAATTAATTTGGATGTTTCTTTCCAATGTACTCATTTATCTGGTATAAAATACTATTGATTAAATTATGCTACTTTTATAATAGTATGCTTTGTGAGGCCATCTGAAACATAATGACTTTGATTTCATAAAACTTTTTTTTTTATAGTCAAGACAGATGTTCTAACTAACAGGTGGTCTGAAGCATTTTTTGATTTTTGGATTTCCCTGACCCTTTGAAGTACTGAGCTGAGTTTTACATGGGTCATGTTACACAGTCTGAAAGTATAATGCTTTTTTTTATTTCCTTAGAGAAGAATTATAAATATATATGAGAGTTTAGTTGCTGGTTGCTATAGTACCTTGATTTTGCTAGATAGGCTCAAGCAGCTGTGAATATTAGCAAGGCTTTCAGCACCTTATAAAACTGGCCAGATCTTAATGGAGACACTCAGCAGGCAGGTAAAATTTTTAATAGGCTAGTGTGTTAGGATTACATGGGTCTTCTGTAGGTTAATGGTACCACTTTTCCTTAGATTAGCATAATTTAAAAATAATGATAAATTTGAAGACTAAGAGAAGATTTATAGACTTCACAGATTTTTGGGGAGGGGAGTCAGTGTCATCTACAGATTATTTTTATATTACAGATTTATGTTTCCTGTGCTTGGTAGCTAAAAATTCATCTCATATAGTTTTAACAGTTTTGATATTTGTAGCCTCTTGTTCTCCCAAGTATTGAGTTAGTGAGTCTCTGTTCATCTATTGTTGGTGCTGTATGTATTTCTAAATCCTATCAATTTAAAATATGTGGTTCTCTGTGTTTAGTCTAACAGGTTTGCTACTTATAATAGGAAAAATCCTGTAAGCACTAATACATTTCAGAGGTTAATATTTAGAGAAGTCACTGTTTAACTTATCAAATTTGACATGCATATATATATAGTTGAGAAAAATAAATATGGAAATATATCAAAGTTAATGATAACTTCAGGGGAATGAATTTAGTTGATTTCATTAAAAATGCAGCAATGACAAAGGTCACCATGAATGAACACTGCTACTGATGGTGTTTAATTTGTGATTTCAAATCCCTCAGTATGATTTTACTAATTCTATCTGCAAAATAGACCAAATGTTGACCTGCTTCCTGTGCTGACATAGTTACATACCTCTAATGTCTTTTCTTTTTTCTGTACTGCAGCTCAAACCGTTGTGCTCTCTCAGCCCACCGTGGTACAGCTTCAGGCACCTGGAGTTCTTCCCTGCCCTCAACCAGTCCTGGCTGTCTCAGGCGGAGCCACACAGCTACCTAACCACGTGGTGAATGTGGTGCCCACAACCCCTGTGGCGAACAGCTCAGTGAATGGAAAGCTTTCTGTGACTAAACCAGTCTTACAAAGTACCATGAGGAGTGTGGGTTCCGATGTAAGTCTTGAAACTTAGTGTTTAAATACTTGATTTGAGAAACAAAAAACACACTCTCTGGTTCTTATTGCCTTGTTTTTATTTTTTAAGTTTCTTTTGTGTTAAATGGGAGAGTGAGAGCTAAAGTTGCACATGCAGTCTTCAATGGAAACTTAGGATAAGCCTTATGTTAGAATCGAAGTGAAAAACTTTTTTTTTTTTAAAGTCTGGAGTGGTTTGATGAAAAGTGAAGTATGCTTACCTTCCTCTTTTTAACTACTTCTTTTTTTTTTTTAAAGTTTTGTTTTTGTTTTTTTAAATAATAAATTTTATTTTTATATTCCCCATACAATTGCAGCCCCCCCCATTCTGACCCCAAACCCTCCCCTCCCGCCCCCGCCCCCCTAAAAATGTCTCTGGTTCATAGTTTTTTGTTGATTTTGATTTTCACTTTCTTATAGTTACTCATTTTCCTGGTCCCTTATTTAAGTTTTCTAGATTCCTGCTATGAGTGAGACCATCTGGTATAGTTTTGTTTTTTTTTTTAATAGAGGCATGTTTTATTTATTTATTTATTTTATTTGTTTGTTTGTACATGCACTGGGGTACAGTCAGAAGCGCGGGAGGGTGAGAGAATTCACCAGAGCCAGAGCGGGGAGCAGAGCAGGCAGAAGGACCGAAGTACACTGCTGAGGGGAGCAGCAGGCGGCAGGAGAGGTCTGCGCGCCATGCGGGACCCTCCTCCGGTGGCCGGGGAGCAGCCAGGGATCGAACTGGCGCCGCAGAGGCCGCGGGCAGCTTTGCAACCCAGCGCTCAACCGCTGCGCCACCGGGGAGGCCCTTAACTACTTCTTTAGAAACCTTCTTTCCATACTCCAAGTCCCCTCCATCCCCACCCAAAACCCCTTCATCAAACATTAGTATTTTGCAGGATTCTTTCATGTTTTCATGTTTGAAATGTTTTTGAAATATCTACACTCCTCAGGTAAGAGTGTAGATAACTTTTCAGTCAGGTTTATATTTAACTTCTCCCTTGACCTACTGAAGAGTTTCCACCACTGCGTAATGACGACTTCCTGCTCTTAGGAGTTCGGTCTCTTAATGATTATTTGGTACTTTCCCAGCTTTGCAGAGCTTCAAATTTTCTAGCATGTTAGAGGGATTATATTTTTACATTTATAAACCACAAAGAATTTCCTGAGAGTGACAGCCCTCCCTAAAACCAGCTATAGCACTTGGCTGCTAATGCTTGCTTTCTTTAAAAGTGATTCAATATCTCTCATGTGTTAAACAACCATCGGACATCATGGGACCATCTAAAGTTGAATGAAAGTTAAAGTCAAATAATCTAAGAGAGGATTTTCTAAAACGGTGATTAGGGAAGCAAACCCTATATGGGTATTACCTGTTGTTACTCCACCTTTTCTTAGGTATTACAAAGTACTTTGAAATTCCTGTGAGTAGTGCAAGATTGTATATTATGTTACTGTGTGATCTGTCTACAGCAATCTACTAACCAGCACATCAGTATCCTATTTAGTTATAAAATTGCTCTGCTGTGCATAGACATGACCGAATAATCTCAATCAACAGTATTGCTAAGGAGTATTGTCTGATGAAAGAGAACATTGAAGTTCTCCGATAGGTCCCATAGTTTATTGGAAATGGTATGTGCCAAGACATGAAAGAGGAAAATTACTGTCATATGAAAATGGACATGGATAGTACAGGATTAGGCTCTATTAAGCTAGTTTATTTTGAGGACTAGAAAAGGTAAGCACAGTATATATTGCATAATAGTCACTAATATATAGTATATGTTTCAGATGATGGTGAAATAATATGATGCTGGGATTTGCTTTTAAATACTCTCTGGGGAGGTGATGAACACAGGCAGATTGGCAAAATGTTGATATTTCCTTAACTTGGGTGTCTAATCTTTCTCTCCTTTTGGTGCACAGGAAAATTTCCACAATATGTAAATAAACTATAATAACAGAAATCCAAAAACATTCTGTGATATTTTCAGTTAAAAAGTTGTACAGCCAATAAGAAAGGAGTATGCTTTTTATAAGAAACCGAAGTTAAGAATGATGAATGGGGATGTTTTATGTGAGCCCTTAAAATTTCTTTTTAACATTCTTTAAATTATTAATTTGAATTTTTTTCTGTAATACTACAAGTGTAACTAGCAATAGAAAATATTCAGAATTGTCTTTATATAATGTGTTAGAACTTTTGAAATACTTACTATGAAATATTTGAGACATATAAAAGATAAGGACTAGATATTTTAAAATATATAGGTCAACAGTATGTCACAATTGTTAAATATTCACACAACCTTAGTCTACATTTGTATATTCAGAACATCCATCAGAGGAACATAACTTGAGTGTGGAGGCTGTTCAGAAACCATATTATAGGAAGGTTAGTGGTTTGAGAGTTGGAGTGACACAGTCAACTGAAGACTGAAAGTAGACTTGGGTGCCATCTCCTAGGAAATGAAGGTTGTCATGTGGAGAATAGGATAATTGTTCAGGGTTATTCCCCAGAATATCTAGAATAGGTGCAGTTATTCGAGTACTCCTTCTAATACTAAAATTCTTTGTACAGTTGGATTTAAAAACCAGTGGAGATCTCTTCTGTTTCTTCTAGACTTAATATCTGAATAATGAACATTTTAATGCTGATAGTCATCATTGCATGCCACCGGTCCATTTTGTAATCTGTAAACATATTTCAGTTAATTATTTGTTGGTCTGTTATCCAGATATCCTTCACAAATTCTTTGGTGTGAAAAGACCATGTCTGTTCTGTGTTTGCGCTCCCAGGGTACTCTGTAAATTTGGTGAATAGTTTATGGATGAAGTCTAAGTCAGCACTGAGGAACTGGGGCTTGTGTGAGTTGAGATAATACACAACCAACAAACATTATCTTTTTTCAAACTATTTATTGGCTTTTCAATTTTGAGTTGACAATATTATAAAAGAAAGCTGTGAGTACAGTGTAGCTAGTGCAAGAGACCCAAAAACGATTAGAATAAATTTTTTATTCAATCTGCATTGAGGTTTTTGTGCTTATTTTTACTTGGCCAGCACATCAGGAAGGGAGCCAAGCCTTTTCAGTATGAGTTTTCTGGTGGAGGTTTTGACTGAATGTTTATTTCAAGAAAGAAACATCAGTCTGTCCTATCAACTGGCCAAGCCGCTCAGGAACCCAAAGTAAAACTGTTCCAGAAGGAGTTGCAGAAAACTTTGATCTGCTAGTACGGTCTTCTGTGTTAATAACTTGGTTGACCTTAATAGTGTATGTTTGTTAGACTCAAGTCCTGTTAAATTAGGATGAATTTGAATTAAGATAGATTCCTGATTCAAAATGGCCAAAGAGAAAATATTTTTATCTTGTACTTTTTGTGCTTTGAAACCAAAATATGATGAAAAAGTTATAATTCAGCAAAAGAAAGTGTATCAGTCTTCTGTGGCTTTGTAATGCTGATGTGGCTTCTCTTTTTCTACCTTTTTTGTTCTTTTGTTTGGCTAGTTTAACTCTCCAGAGGCCTGCTACTGCCATAACTAGCGTTTTTAGCATACCATATTCTGCAAACTGCATTAAGTGCCACATTTTCTGTTATGAAAGTTTGCCTGGTTCAAATTATAATCTCATGCTTCCTGCCTTTTGCTGGTAAATCTGTTCTGTTTAACTCTTGGAAACCTCACCTAAGTTTCAAGAAGTATGGTTTGCTTTTGGCTCTGATCCTGATGGAAAAAATGAACGTAGTTTCTCATTTCAGTGTAAAAATTCTCTTATGTAGTTTCTTAGTTACTTGCAATCTTTGAACTATAAAGTTGCGTTCATATGAAAGCATGCTTATCTGTCTTCAAAGGGCAATTAAATGTCAGACATCAAACCAAGGGCTGGAAAATAAGCAGTCTGTTTAAATCTCATTGCACTTACTACCCCACCTACCCGTCACGATCCTGTGAAGTTCTTGAAACATTGCTGCTCTGGTTTTAAGGTTTTGGAGTTACATTATTTTGGTTATTGGAATAATAGGCCAGGGAAAACAAAGTGGTGAGATTATATCCTGTATCTTCCACAGTGGTCCAGGGTGGAGCAAAAGCCCTCCAAGAAATAAGTAGGTAGGAACAATGGAAAGAAAATGATCAGGAACTAGATCAGAATTGGAAATAAACTCAGATGGGAGGCTGGTTAAGGGGTATGGACTCTTGGGCCTCCCTGGTGGCCTAGGGGTTAAGTCTTAGCACTATCACCACCCTGCCAGGGAGCTAACTCACATATGGCACAGCAGACCTTTCCTGTCTCGCCCACTGCTCCTCTAAGCAGTGTATTTCAGTAGATCTGCCTGTTCTGTTCCCCACTCTGTCTTTGGTGAATCTCCTTGCTTTCCACCCCCACCATCTCTGGCCTATACCCCAGTTCTCCACAAAAAATGGGGGTACTGGCTCACCTGATAGGTGGCCTCAGGTCTCCTTACATTCCCTGTTGAGTGTTTTCCAAACACTTTATTACCTTATACCCTCTTGCTAATTCTTCATTTGGTGACCTTGACCCCTTTCTATCCGTCTCAACCTTTGGGAGTCCCTGCCTTGGGTCATTAAAACTTCATGAAAAGCTCAGTTCTGGGGGGAATCTCTTCCCCCAGGCCTGCAAGTATTAGAAATGGTGTGAAGGGGATCTCCTGGCACACCAAATCGGGCCTTTGATTTCTTTTCTCTGGAGATGGTGTATATGTGAAGGTCTAGATTTCAGATATTGTGAGTGTTGTGAACATTGAGGTGAAGTGAGCTGACCAGGTGACTGCTGTGCACAGGCTGTTCTGTACTGCAGTGGGGGAACTGAACCCTGGCGTTGTATTCCTTGAAGAGCAAGTCCTGAGGGAGACCTTCTCTCATCTCTCAGAGTTTCTCCCAGAGAACAACCCTGAGAAATGAACTGGGGGGGGCAGTGCTGCCCAGGGCCTTGTATTTCTGGCTTCCTAGGAAGATCTGCCTGAAGT